GCATTTCAGATGCACACCTACTAAGTTAAAATTCTACCTCTTGCTGCCAGAGAGAAAAGAGAAAATAAAGGGGGAAATGTCAAAAAAACTTAAAATGATGAAAAAACCTATCATGAAAACTACTGAGTAAACTTATTTCTGCTTGTTGCAGAGGACAAAATTGGAATCAATACTGAAAATCCCACCAAAAGCAAATTTCAGCTTAAAATGTGGAACAACTTCAAATGAGATGAACTATCTTGAATGGATTTGTGATTGCCTTAGAAGGTGATTCAAACTTCTTTATCAACAAAGAAAGCTAGCCTTAAATTGCATCTTGCATTGCACGTCTGACATTAGGAAACAGCCCTTGCAGCCAACTTTGTAAATATGAGCTCATCTGCAAAAGGGGACTATAAGAATTGGAGTTCAACCCAACCAGATAGCACCAGGTTGAAAAAGATGGGCTGGAGAGCTGGATTAGATTACCAAAGCAGAATCCAAATGTCATAATTCTGACCATAGTAAGTAGAGACTCTGTGACAGTGATGGCGAACCTTTTAGAGACCGAGTGCCCCAAAACCGCCCCTGTTCCGCCTCCCGCCCTGCCCTGCCTGTCCCCTGCCCACCTGCCCGCAGAGCTACGCACCGCCTCCATGGCCTGCTGCAGCAGATCACCCAGGCAGCCCTGCAGCGCCATGGAAGCCACACCCTCCGCCCACAATCTGTAGCATCATCTGCACGCTATGGGGCGTGAGGGCGGAGTCTTGTTCCTGCTGTCTGGCTATGTCCTTAGGTGCGCTGCTCCGTGCAGGCTGTGCCGGGGTGACTCTCCTCCAGGGGGGCTGCTGGTGAGGAGGGGGCTGTGGGCGGAGGTAGGGCTGGGGCAACAGCGCGTGTGCCCACAGAGAGGGCTCTGAGTGCCGTCTCTGGCACGCGTGCCATAGGTTCGCCACCACTGCTCTATGATGTTAACCCAGGACAAATTGGCTTCCAGTTAGTTTCCAAAATTAGTTTCCAAAATGAATGCTGGTTGTGATCTTTAAACTTCAGCTTTGTTGGATTTCAGGGATTTGGGGAGAGATTTGCTTCCCTGCTGTTTTTAGACATGAACTAAAATAATTCTCCAAGTATGCATATTATTTGAAGGAACCAGCTTCTTCAAGCTGTCCTTGCTCAATCTTCTACAGTTGATTCATCAGCTGTAGTTAACAGAGTTGGAAGGGATCTTGGAAGTCTTTTAACCCAACCCTCTGATTAAGAATGAGACCCTGTACCATTTCAGAGAAATGGTTGTCCAATCTCTTCTTAAAAAAACTCCAGTGATGGAGCACCCACAACTTCTGAAGGCAAGCCATTCCACTGATTAATTCTTCTAATTGTGAGGAAATTCCTCCTTGGTTCTAGGTAGGTTCTCTCCTTGATTAGTTTCCGTCCATTGCTTCTTGTTTTGCCTTCAGGTGCTTTGGAGAATAGATTTACCCCCTTTTCTCTGTGGCAGTTCCTTATTATTGGAACACTACTATCATGTCATCCCTGGTCCTTCTTTTCATTAATAGTTTTTCTGTTCATTCATAATTCTCCTTTTGTTTTGTTTGGTGCTTTTTGCAAGGTGGGCACTGTCTCTGCTAACTTCTTGCAGACTATTTACCTAATTTATTTTGCGGTGGTTTTAAATTATTTACAAAACCACGCTGTAAACTTCTTGGATCAAAACATGAGTTATAAATATTTTAGGGTATTTGCCAGAGATATGGTTTAATGAATGAATCAGACTAAATATAGCCCATGAATCTGTGAAGAAACAGCACAAAAGCTTACTCCTGCTTTGAAGAGTCTTGGAGATGATGGGAAGATTAATTACTTTTTTCAGTCTGCAGCTGTGAAGAGCAACAATGTCTTATTGCAATCAACCGCAGAGACAATTCAGGATCAAATTGCTTTAAACACATAAATTGGAATGGATTCTGAAAAGTTCAAACCATTCATCCAAATATATTTCTTTTTTTCCCTACAAAAAAGCTGTAACAATTCTCTGTTTATTTCACTAAGGGCTTTCCAGGATAATTTGTCATTACAGGGTTTTACAAGCATGGTCCCTATACAAAAACTGTAGGGGAGCACTGACACCTCTCAGTTTGGAGGGATGATGAAATGTGCATTGTGACACAAATCTCACATTTGCATACTTTCAGCTGATGTTGGGGTACAAAAGGGCAGGATTGCATTGTAAGAACACAACATACATTTATTATTGTTTTTATCATCATGTATCATGGGTATAGGAGGCCTATGTAAAAAATGTCAGATACACATTAAAAGATGTGTTATATAATGATGCAATTTTATTTATACATATAATATTTAGAAGACCAATTATTCTTCCTAGAGTCATAGTTCCATTTTAATCTTCTTGCTATTCAGTTCTTCCTTTTCTAGATAACTTCCCCAAGTTTTCTAACTCTGTACCACAGCCCTCAAATTTTATGCAGGCCAGTGATACATATGCCTGTTTTTCTGTATCTTGTTGAACCCTTATATCAACTTATTAATGGCTCACTAACTAATGGACTATTAGGAAATGCTTAATAAAATTCAGCCCTGAAAACACATACTTTGCTCCTTTAAGACTATATAAAGAGCCTTCAATTATCCAGATTATTATTATGCCTGTATCCCTTTATCTGAAACATATATCCATCTCCTAGTGTTATTCTGATGCACACAGTCCTTTTCAAACCACATTTAGTACTATGTACAGTAGAAAAAACTTGTTATATTTTTATTATTCCTACTCTGCAAAGGTCTTAAATTCAGGTATACATTAGGTCACGTAATTATTCAGCCTTTGTCATCATGGGATGCCAAAAGGCAAAGGTTATGTTGGTGAAAATACAAGATCAGGCATATAAATCCACGTTAATTAACAGAATCATATTTTGCTTGCACTGGGTATATAACAAGATGACAAGGTTGCAAGGTGAATACTTTTCAAAGCTCTAACACAATTAGGAGGTTGTAAGTGACACTTGGAAAGCAAAGGTTAATTTGGGTCATCAAAATGCGGTGATTTCTTACCTAACCAATCATTAAACTTCTTGACCTCAGAAGGTAGTCCCAACTCGGTGAAATCGCCTGTATGAAGCAAGATGTCCCCATAAGGCATCTGGACTCCATCTGTTCTGGAGTGTGTATCTGAGATGCAGACAAACCGTGTGTGGCCTGCTGGTTTCGGTGTGTCGTATGGAATAGGGTCGACCCTAAAACAAACATAAGAGAGTCCATTAAAATTACACTTGCTATACTCGTTAAACAAATTAAGTGTATTCACTATGTAGATACTTCCTACATGATGGGAATTTTCAGTCTTAAAGAGATCCTTATTATAAACAAATTGATTTTTTGTTGTCTTGACTTTATACTGGATGTTAAGAAAATAAAGATCTGAGAATACCATATCTGTTTTTAGTCAACTGTTTTGGCAAATACATAGCACTATGTTTCTATCACAAGGTAACTGAATCACAGTATGAGGAATGACAGATGGCCATATAGGAAGAGTTGTTTGGAGTCAGGCAGCATCAAAATCAAATAAATAAACATGTATGTTCTTTTCATTCTTATACAGCAACATCATGCTGGCTATGTACCCGACATGTGACATACCTTCACAGATGAGCAAGGAAAAAAGTCCTCTTGGAATCATCTATTTCTGTGTATTATTCTGTAATAGTATTCATATTCTCTCTGTCTCTGTCTCTCTCACACACACACACACACACACCATGCAATGCTGTGGCTTTGAAGAGTTTTGGAACTCAGAGGACATAAATGTAGCAACCCTCGCTTAGTTCTTAATATCTTGAGATAGGGCAGGAGCTGAGCAGAGCAGCTGCACAATGTGAACAAAAGATGAGTAGCTTAAAGGAGTTGCCAACTTGTGTGAGGTGAGCATCCTGAACATTCAAACCACCATTTCTCCTTTGAATCTAAACAGCTTATGTGCATTTATGTGTATGTGTCAATGTTTATATGTGTACATTACAAGGAAGATAAATGTATTTTGCTTTTTCTCAAACACACCCAGTCTGAAAATGCATTCTTTAGAAATAAAATATGAGCTTCTTGGTGAGTTCTTATTGTGAAATATATTATCAATCACTTTGCAAAATTTACCTTATAGTGAATTTAATGTTTATAGAGCATTTTTAATGAAAAAAAAATGGTATGAAGATATTTGAAGATTTACACTCATATTACAAACATAATTGGCAATATCAATTTTGGAAGTGCTATTTCTAGGTCTGAAAGTTCTCTCTTCAATCATTAGAGACATAAATTATTAAAAGAATAATTCATTCATCTGGATGACAGGTGCACAAACATATTGGCACAAGTTGTCCAACTAGGAAGACCATCATCATCACCACACAGGTTTACTCATCTTAGTAACTTATGTACCAAAACAATTTTTTGAATCTGCATATGCAGAAATTAATACATTGAATGCTCTATCATCCCCTCGTTCTCTGTTCTTACATAGGAGTAGAATATTCAGTCAGTCCAAAAACATTCAAGAGACATTGTTATGTACTGGAAGGAAAATATAATATTTGTTAATATTTGAGAGAAGAGTAGGGAAAGAGATTAAATAAGGTGGACATACTGTAGCAATATTCAAAACCTACAGCAAAAACAATTATGAAGGCTTGTGAGATTATACAGTTGCACTTTAAATTATTTTCACTTATATTTTTGCTTAGCTTTGTCCTCTTGTGTGTATGTGTGTATAGACACTCAGACACAGACACAGACACATGTACATAGTATATGTATACACACAAACACATACAAATACCACATAAAATGTGTTGAAAACTGAATATGGGGCTAGAAGATACAAAAACTGCAGCTCATGTAAAATGTGGCAGCTTGGTAATTATTACTTGGAGATGGAAGGGATGATTGCATCAGTAGGGGTGATTGATTTGGGAATTTATTGATCAGGAATAGAACTCAGCAGAAAGCATGTTTCCTTTACACACTATTGCAAAAAACGAATAGCCTGGATTCCTACCATTTCATGAAATGGCAATGAAAATTCTAGTGTAGAGGTTTGCAAATATTTTCATCTCGGATCACTTTACATTCTGATAAAATGACTGAGGACTCCAAAGAGCTTTGGTTTATGTGGGTTGTATCTATCAATATGTTGTGTATTAGAAATTAAAACTGAGATATGTTAAAATATTTGACTTTGTGGACCCCTGGAAAGGATCTCAGGGTCCCCAGACTACATTTTGAGAGCCACTGCTCTAGAATAAGCTCTGTATCATAGAAACAGAAGGACCCACAAAATTAACACATCCACATATATTGTTCTAATTCATTCTACGACTCTTGTAAAAAAGAACCTTTTCACCAAAATATGTTCTGAGGGGCTTCTTTTCTGGTTGGCAATTAGTGTTCTGCAAACATTAAGGAAAAAAAGGAGTTTTTACAAGGTATATGTGTGCATGAAGCTCTTGTCTTTGAAATAATAAAGCAAACATGCCTTTTTTTCCTACAATGATAGGGCTATAAGCTCCTCTGAAATCTCATTTTATTTCACTTTTTCTCCAACAAAGAAGAATGGCTGTGCATACATATACATGTAGATAGCCAAGAGCATGGAAAAGAATTCAGCTGATTGATTGATTCAAAGAAAGATACTTCATATCTGCTTTCACAAACCATGAAACATCTCTTTTGAAAGATTTTTACAGCCTTTTTCCTAACACTTCTTCCTACATTGTGTAGGAAAACACAGTTTGTCCTGGATACCTTTTCTATGAAATGTTCTCCCAGATATATAATTGCACCAAAATTGGTTTTGGTCTTGTGCTTGGTCAAAACCGGTTATTCATGTAGATTTTGAGATCTTTGTTAGTGGAGATTAGTAGCATTTTCTTTTGACACATTCATTTCATCCTGATGATTATTTTGGTTACTTCATGCAAAACAGACTTTCATGTTTATGGTTAGTTTGCTGAATTAGTTGCACTGACTCTATTCCTGCTGAGATTTATAAGCATATGGTACGTTAGAAATGATTTTTTAAAGAAAACCACAGACAAATAAATAAATTCCCTATTTTCAATATGTGGACCAATTATTGAAAACAGTTTAAAAAGAAATTAAGAAATTGCATTGTTTTACTTTTCTACTTTTTTTTTAGCTTTTTCCATTCAGGCATCAGCTTATGCTTATTACAAACATTGCTTTTTCTTGCACAGAATCCCACAAAAGTAATGAATATGCAGAATATAACTTCTATCACCATTTAGAAAATCTTAGTGAGAGTATGCAATTAATAGGCTTTTTTTCTTCTTACAGTGTTCTTAAATTAGTAACAGTGTCAGAGGCTAAATTGGTAACCTAGATATAATTGTACTCATGTATGTAGATTTAACAAGTTTATCTAGTGACTTTCTTTCTAACAATGTAGTTCCAGAATAATGCTTTGTTTGCTGTTATAAAATAGTAACAGTGTATTAGCCTATGGTTAAAATCTTAGTATCATTTCACTTTGCTTCAAGGAGATTTTTGTCCGAAAAACGAGCTTTTGTGTTTGTCTGAAAGAATATTATTAAAGCCTATCTGCATTAAACATGAATATTCATCAGACCTATACTTTTATCATATATCCAGTGCTTCCTCCAACTTATTCCCAATATATTTGCTATTTTCAATTTTCAAAGGGAGATATTAAAACCAGTAGCTATGCAAAATCAGTTTTCTATTGTGGGTCATAACTAACCCAAACGAAAAGCAGAATTCCATTTTTTTCTATTGAAAAGGTAAACTGCTTAGTTGAAATTATACATCTGTTTATGCTTCACAAAAGGTTGAATTGTCATTTACAATTATAAGGCATCAACAATTATTTAATTGAGACAGGGCTACCAAAAGGCAGTACTTCTCAAATATTTATGAGAAAAGTGTGTGTGTGTCTATGTATACACACATACATGTATACATAAACTCTTTAGATCCTTTTCCGCAGATACACAGTACAATTTACAGGATGTGACTATTAACTTAGGAACCATGCAATTAATTTCTATTGTGGCAAGGCAAATACTATTTTTTTGTCATGTCTACAAATTTCAGCTGTATTTTTATTTTCAAAGCATGAAGTTGGTGGTTTTGTTTCTTGAGTCTTGGGAACAGTAACAAACGTATTCTTCACATGACTGTGGAATTTTTTTCAAGATTGTGTACAAGTTTACTGTAGATTTATTTGTTAATTTGAAAGAAAAATGGAAAATACACTCTTGAAGGGGCCATGGAATTATTGTAACTCCAGTGTGGCTGAGACTTTTTTCCTCTTCAATAGAAATGGGACTGAAAGCTGGGGTTGGTAGGAAACAATAACAGCCATGGAAACAAAAATGAATATTGTATTGGCAGGTAAGATGATTATTTTTTGTAACTATAAATATTTATAGAAAATATAAGTTACACACACATAGACACACACACACATTTTTATATCTTTATAAAGGCTATTTATAAAGACTATCGACCACAAACAAAAAAACTCCAACAGGCAAGTTTCCTATTTTCAGAAATAGCTCATATTTTTTCTTGGCGACTCAGTTTTAAGTATATCAGCACATTTTTAACTTCAAAAGAAAATTAACATTCATTTCAAGATTATTTTTGCAATGGAAGACAATAAATATCTTTATTGAAAGTTCTTCATGAAATTTTCTTAATATAAAGCTTATGTTAAAATTTTACATATCACCTGGTTCACCCAATAATACTAATCATGCTGATATTCATTAAATATTAAAATATTTAACATGGTTAAATTATCACATATGCCAGTAGTACAACCAAATAGGGGGTCTTAATTACTCTAACACCTGTTGGAAAACTAGCAGATGACAGGCCCCTTTCCAGATGATTCCTGAGATGTCTTACTGACAACTTTCTCTTCCAGAAAAAGGACAAAGAAAGATCATCTGCCTCTGACGATACCAATCAAGACTTACTGAAAAATCATATTAAAATTGGTGGACAGTGATAGTATAATTCAAGATTTTTAACAATAGCTAAAAAAAACAGTTGCATTGTATTTTTAAATTGTAAAATGTGAATTCAGTAAACTCAGAGGAATAATGAGTAGTGTTATTGGGTACAAATGGTAAAGAGAAAAAGTGCTCAAAATGGGACTGGGGGTAGGGCTATGTGCCCATGGACTTGCATGCGC